TATATATATATATATATATATATATATATATATATATATATATATATATATATATATATATATATATATATATATATATATATATATATATATATATATATATATAGTGGGACTGATTCGCTTGCCTCTATCCAAAGATTTAAAAAAATAAATAAATAAATAATTGTTTTTGACAGTTGGACTCGCTCTATCCGCTTTCCAAAAAGGAGTCCCCATTTTGATGATCGCCAACGAACTCCCAAAAATATCCAAGGAGCACTTTGTCCCATCCAAGACAGCTTTCTCAAACTCAAGTATCAACCTTATCCTAACTTTTAGTAACCATGAAATAGGAATATTCCGGTTGCATTTTTTTCGTTCAGGCTATATAGCTTCTTGAATAAAGTCTCAACTTTGGTGACCACTTCACTTTTCATACGACTCCCCAATTACGTATCTCGGCCAATCTGATGGCAAACGGTGCAGAGTCAAAAGTGCGCTTTTCCCAATCCAACTCCTGGCCCTATCTTTCCAACATCTTCTCTTGAAATTTCGCTTGCTTGACGACGTGTGAATCACATGAAAATAATAAATATGCTCCAAATTCGTAGGTCAAATAGTTTTATAAAATATTCTTGAATAAAAAAAAAGTTAGTGAAAGATTTCACTGAATTAAATTTGATTCAATCAATAGACTTTTTCAAAAAATATTTTTAAAAAATAAAAAATAGAATGATTTAAAACATTAGAGCAAAGGATCCGTTTTATCATTTTATTTCTATGAATATAATATTTTGATTATGTTGACTTGTTAATTTGTATGATACGGAATAGATCAAAAAATCTTCATTGTAGCCCATTCAATGCTACATAGCGAGTATAAGACCTTCAAATAATATCTTTTCATCCTTTAAATTTTAAGGTGTATAAAATCTTATATTCGATTGTTACAATAGAGTGATAGAGATTTCATTGAACTCCTAATCGAATTATTTAGGATTCAAAAGTAAAAATAATAATTTTATCTATTAATAGTGGCCAAATTAGTGTATTGCCAAACCACGGCTGTCAGATTGGGAGGAAGATTGGAATTAGAAATTAATAAAAAAACTAAGGATATGAGTCTGTGACTAGGAAAACAAAATTCTAATTTTATCAGTTCGAATACACATACATACATACATACATATGCCAATGTATTACTCATAAAATAGAAGAAATACCACCGCCAGGCGCCGAGTCATGCAAATTCTGAAAGGAAATGCCACATTAATTGACATGCAGCTGCTACATCAAAGTTATTTTTACAAAGAATGTGAGTCTCGTGATTTTTGACCCTTGACATCCACTTGTTTGGAAGAAAAAAAGAAAAGAAAAGGAAAATTTGAATACCAAGTGATGGATTTGACCATGACAGGGGAGGTTAAAATAGAGGGGGGAAACACAAAAAGAGAGACTATTTGCAAAAGAATTGGTGTGGAGATATACAGATATCTAGTTCATGAACTTCCTGCAGTTGGGAGCTTTGCAGAGGCAGGGAACCTTGCATTCATCGCCTTCGTCAGGGTCAAATAAATAGTCGTATCTGCAAACCAACAGGCAACCAGGTCTAAGTGATAAATAACCCTGAACCACTTAATTAAATAAGAAATGCACAGGTACAACCATCCGATTGATTAGTCAATGATTTGGATGGCCAAGAAGCAAAATAATTCAAGCAGACCTGAACCTACAGAACTTGTAAAGAGAAGTTCCCTAAAGAAATTTCATTGTATATGACAAATGAAGGGCTCAATCATAACAAAACAATCTTGCATCCTTGAGAATACTTGAAATGGTTCGAATCAAGTGATGAACAAGATATAACATCCGTCATTAAATCGTATGAGCACAAGAAGACTTCAAGAATTTGCAAGCTTGATGCTATCAGATCAAGAATCGAATACTAGGGAGTTTTGCTTGCCAGTTTCTCTCTGACAACAGGAGCAAAGAGTATTTGCTAGTCACAGCTGCTGCCTACCAAGGTTCATGGCTCGAGGAATAAAACATTTTTCCTAAGATTCAAATTACTTTCTTTGTTGCAACTCTTCGGTCATTCTATGTGGCAGAAATTACTTTCTTTTTTGCAACGATACTTGAGCAACAAATATTTTCCACTACGACCAGTGTCTGTCATATTGAAGCTCTCAAAGTTGTTAATCAGGAGGCAGCAATCATATCCATCATATGTTTTCTATGAAAGACCTATGTCATCTTCGACCCATATCCATGTCCATATTGGGCATCATAACATATCAAGAATCACTGACATCACTTTGATCAATCATCTTGTTTGGTAGTTAGCACTTGAGAAACATAAAGGATTTGCCACCATCATAAATGAAGCTTAAAATGAAAGGAGAAATGTAATTCAACAAAAACATTTGAAAATTCCTTTTTCAGGTAGGTAAAGAAACTTACGTTAGTTCTTCACCAGCAGAAACATTTGTCTTAGCTATCAAAACAATCCGGCTTTCATCATTGCCGACACTCATGATCCTAGCATAGCAATTGGGCATGCACTGCATATGAAAATGAAAGTTACTTTTTGAGTATTATAGTGAGAATTTTGCCAACAAAAGGAGATCTTAATGAACTTAATAACTCACTGAATGGTTTATCAAACGTGCTATGTTTCCTTTGTCTGTTGCATCAACCACTACTTCTTCGCTGATCTTAAAAAGCTGCAAGACAGAGCACATAACAGGAAATCAGAAAATGAGCATGATTTTATGCAAGCAAATCAATCATGGTATGACACCAGAGGAAGGAATTTATCATTCGTAAAGAAAAGGGCCTCATCTCAAACAACAGGTGACTTGCTAGTTGGAATACATCAGCGTTGTATACTAGAGTAACTAGACGAATGATCAAGTAAGATAGCTCAAAGCCTACGCATGGAATATATTGGTGTCATATGCTAGATGGATGATCATGTATGGTAGCTCAAAGCCTAAGCATTGAGCAAAATGACTATGTGAATCTCTTGTTGATTAACATGGCTCCTAGTTTTTATTCTAATGCAATGATTTCCATAAGCGATTTACTAGCATCATGACACACTCTACTAGTATTGTTGACTACTTGACTCAACCAAAATTTTCAATTAATTAAGATATTCTGACAAAACATATGGTCCTTGGTTTTGATATTTCAACTTCCTGCATCAGCCAAGAGCAAACAGAGAACAGAAAAAGATGAAAGCAGAAAGATTACTTACATAACAACCCTTCCCTTCCAATCGATAGCGTGCTTCCCTTAGATCTGCAACACTACGTCGGACCTGCTCACCACGGTATTCAATAACCTGCTAGCAGATTAACCGTTAGCTTCATCATCAGACCACTTTCTGAAATCCTAATAGTCCTGAGTATTATAGAAATCGTTCAATTTTCACTGCCCACCTTTTGACCATAAAGCATTGGCAGATTGCAGCTGCTAATACAATTTGATAATACAACATAAATACACTTAAATAATGCACAAGAAATATTCATTCATGCATGCGTATGTTGTATATGCATGCATATCAATTTAAGAAAAAGGACATCACTATAACACAAGGATTGCAAGGCCACTTAATGTGCCCTTGCCGGAAAATATGAGCATAATAAGTGTGATGTTTGTGATGCTTGACTCTTCATATGAGCACAGCTTTTACTGCCTCAAAAAGAAAAGAAAAGAAGCAGAGATAGCATCCACTAGCACCCATACACATATCAGTACCTTGCTGGCATGGTACGATGCGGTGTGTATACAGCAAAGACATCATATTTCTCTACTATCTATACCATAAGACTGAACACACTAAAAATCATACAAATGAGTGTGGATCAAATATTGCCAAGGCACAGTTATGATGTAGACTCTGGATCAGTCGCTTCTCCAACTGAACCCAAAATAGTCATCATGCTCTACAACATAAAAAAAGTGCATAATACAGAATGGCTCAATACTTAGGACTGCAGTACCCAGGGAATGTATCACACAATCTTCAACAATGAGATAACTGGTTTATTGTAGTTTGTGGTTACCAAGCATCCAAGTAGATAACCATCATGATCAGATAGTGAGGTAGGAGAAGCCAAATACGATGAAGTCGTTAACTTATTAATTTGACTAACCAGCCACTCAAATGTGCATCAAGCATACAAAACCAAAGAATTCAATGATGAATCAGCTGCTACTTCTAACAAGACTTTGAAAATAGTATGGTGCAGAAAAGTATGCCTGCTTACCATTTCTCCTTCTTGAATGTTCCTGAGAGCAAAGAGACCCCATCCATGTATTCCAGATCTACCAAAACAAACTCTACTTTTTTCTGTTGACTGGAAACATGAGTATATAAAGAGCTGATGAGGATGTCATGACCAGAACATATGTATATGACTGAGGTGGTATCACAATTACCTGCAAATGGTAAAGCCGTTCCCTGAATGTAGAGAACAACTCTGGATCCTTCTCTTCCTGCATGGAAAAAAAGGTCCATCATAAGTTTCCAATCTACTGTAAGTACACAACTGTAATCCAGAAGGGCAATCACGATGTATTGCAAAAGAAGATCAAGAGAATTACCCTTGGTGCATTCAAACTTTGAACCACATCCAGAGAATGATGAGAAGGCCCCATCAATCTGTGAGCAATAGCCTCTTCTTGTTTCCTCTAAAATAACAGAAAATGCAATTACAAACTGACACGGGACTATATTACTGGGTTCTATCAAATCCAAGAACATGATGGGAAGAAATATATCTTTGTCAGGTAGATACACTACCAACACACACTGAAGAACATGATAAACAATGGTTATCCCCAAGAAAGAATGTAGCAGCAAACAGACTATATGCAATGTCATTAGCCAAAATTTTACATCAGTCCGTTAACACATGACTTCTTCTTAGACAACCACATAATTATTTTTCCACCATTTTCTCCTCGATTGGTAATATTTTCTAGGCTGCCTTTGTCATCCTCTCTAAAATAAAGACCAATTAAACTAGTCACAGAAGCAAAAAGATTAACACAGGTAGCAGGAAACATAATTTATACCTGTCCTGCATGAATCTTGATATCAATGCTAGCCCTTCAGGCGATGCACATTAATTTATTGTGAGAAAAATGATATTGTTAAATCTTATTCAAAGGTGAAACAGTCAAACAGTTGAATTATCAAATGCCATATCCTTTATATTAGACAGGACAAGAATTGTAAGATGGTAAATAAATGATTAGAGACACATTCAAATCATCAGCCACAATCAGTTTACCAGATATAGTTAAAAGGTTCTGTTCCAAAACATACCTTGGTTGCCATCCTCCTATATATTCGACACCTTGCAGCAGATGGAGTTTCAGAATTCTGAATAGAGAAATCTGAATCATGAAGAATGCCTTTCCTAATTAGCCTTGAACCAGTCTGTTTTTCATTGTTTTGTAGCAACTTTTTGGAAGAAAAGACTCCTTCAGGAGTATGTATAATCAAGACAGTATCTGGGTTCGGAGCACTGCAGAACACAGACACACAAATTTAATTACAAAGGCAGAGAGTTTGTCTAATTGAGACTTACTACTGTTCCTAATCCAGAATCAGGATTTGAATGTAACATTCTACAGGATACAGAGAAACGGAGCTGTGTTTTATGCAAATAAGAAGAGGTGAGTTGCAGTAAGGTATATATATACACATATTGGACCTCTAAGCACCATTAGTGATGTTTTATAATAATGAATTAGATTCAACATAAAAGACCATGTAAAGGACCAAAAGAAATAGTTATTATAGCAGGAAGCTATGAGTACATGGTAAAATCTTACCGGTGATGAGCACAGTATGAGACCTTCTTTGTTATCTGCTTTCCGTTTTTTTCCAAGCAGTGTAACTGCAATAGAACATATTTAAGATTAAAAATTATGAGTCCTTCCACTTCTAAAATTTTAAAATGTTTATAATTTTTTTAAATCACAATGATCACAAAATAAGACAAATATTGGATATTGCCCTTGATGCACACATTTAAAGATTAAACGCATCATTAATATGCCAACTATGCAATATCATCCTTTTCAGTAATCTACCTCCATCCGATATCCTCCTCTTGATGCACACATAGCATGGTAATAGGTGGAACACTTGTAACATTGTGTACAAGAACCATGCATCTGACGACATATAACGCAGACCTGGAAGTACACCAAGAAAGAACTTAAACTCAAATCAAATTTTGATACATAGTGTAGAACTTGAAAAGCCTAAAATGATTCTAATATAGATTTTGACAGCATCAGATGTTTCTCATGATCATTCCAAAATCATGTCTTAACCTTCACAAAAGACTCTGATGGTATGTCCAATATGCCAACAGCAGGCTCCATTGTTTCATCATTGGCAAAAGAGACTTGAGGATGAAACCAAGCACAAGTGACATGGACCCATAGCGTCTCAACATCTGTTGGCTTGAGCGCACCACCTAAGAAAAAAAAATACAATCAATGAAACCTGAACTTCTGATGTGCGAGAACAAATTTAAAATTTCCCAAACTAAGGTAAAATTAGATTAAAAAAATCCAAAATTGCAACAATCAATAATCTACAAAATGATATATTTACAATTACTATTAAATGCCCATTGTACCTTTTTCTAAAATATGTTATCAGTAGTTCAGTACAATATTTGCACCAAAGAACATTCATCACAAAAGCATCAAACGGGTAGATACCTCACACATGATGTAATAGATTACTAAAATATCCAGTAATCTACGAGATATGTGACAAATACAGTACATCCATTTTTAGCCTTAAAAAAGGGGTAATATAAAAATATGATACCTTTTACAGGACAAAGGCAGCATTCCCTCTTTTGTTGAGGTGTTTCACATGCTCGGCAAATCCAGGATGTAAAGTCCTGCTTCGCTCTCACTCCATAGCATTCCTGGTGAACTGCTATTTGGCATCTGATAATTGTAGAACCATTAATTTTAGCAATTCAATGTTTATGTTTCTTAAATAGAATGATAACCAAGCAACGTGAAACAGTACCTCCATACTTCAAAAGAGTATTTCAAAAAGAAGTCATAGTCATTGCTAATTTACCTGTTACAGATAATTATTTTGTTATAATCCCAATCTTCAACCCATCTGCAGATTGCACATCGTTCTGTTGTCCACTTTGCATAAACTGGGTCATATGCTTCTAAGAAAATGAATCCAGAACCCATAGTTAGAACAATTAATCCAACTACTTGCAGAGGCATGTTAGTTACAAACAGTGCCAGTGCATATCTAGTGCTTTATATTAAGAAATATTATCAGAAAAAAGGATGTACCTTGCAGGAAAGCAAGTAGCTTTTGTTTCCTTACTTTTGCAGATGGCCGTTTAGCATGGTTCATGGAAACCATATTAGAATTATAATGATCTAGCTGCAAGTTAACAAACATTTATGGTAAGCAACATACTGACTGCTAAGCTAATTTACTGTATTGTCCAATGCAGATAACTCATGTTGCTTTTCCTAATAACAAAACAACAGCAGAAGTCTTGAAGTCAAGCATCTTAGGCTTACCAAAAAATGAAAAGCCAAATACATGAAAATAATCCAGCACGAGAAAAGGTTATATAATATATCTTTTTAAATTAAAAAAACATTAATCCAAAACCACTATAGTGACATCTACTAAAGCATTTGTCTAAAGCCAGTGATAACACTTCTAGAATTAAGCAACAGATGTTTAATCTAAAAGCCAAGATGCTAAATGTAATAAAACATTGTACTATTGAATTACAACTGAAAAAGCTCTTTGTGAAGTACAGACCCATTTTCCCAATGCCATATTTGTACTTCTGACTTTGACGCTGGACCTCCAATTTTTAGTTTTGGAGCCAGTATGTCGCTCCCATTCAGTAAGCATGAACTTTTTCCCTTTGCAAGAGCTACAGCGACATGAAACCCTACCCAAGGATGCAAAAGAAATAACATAGATTAAATCAATATAGTTCATACAAATGACGAGAATAAGAGAAAATAAAACTCTTAACTCATTTCAACATATGATAACGAGCATATAACTGTCTAGTGCATCAATTTAGTATCAACAAACAGAATGAGTTGGAACAAGCAAATATAATATTCTCCCCATTATGGAAGAGGATGAGAAAATAAGCATGTTTATCAATTCTGCTGGTCACAAATCCTTATGAAACGAGTTAGCATAAGTTTTGCCTGAAAATTCTGATATTATCAAGAAGGCTTCAAGCATCTTAATTTGAGGATAGAGAATAAACCATTAATCTTCTACGCAACATAAACAGGTCTTCCAGGAGTATATGCACAAGGGCATAATATACGGATCACTAGTAGAAAGTATAAACTGCTGTTTCAAGCTATTAGGCACGGAATTCATGAAAACAAACTCATCCAAGCATTTTCATATGTTTAACCTTTCAATCTAAACTGCTCCTGTTTGGTCCCAATTTCATTTATAGTGTTTGCTGATCTGCCTCATGCCGCCTTACACCCTTCCAATGGAGAGAATGAGGGGAGTAGAAGAGGAGAGGCCTAAAGAGAGGTAATGCTGCAAATGAGGATAGTAATTTGAAATTTCTTTTGTGCTTCTTTTTGCTGTCAATGGATGTTCTTTGTGTGTTCTGCCAGCATTCCTATGTTGCCACAATGCTATGTGGTCTTGTACTTGTAGCACACATACTCTACCAGCAACCAATCAAATCAGGATGCGGATGGCCAAGGACTATGTTGTCTCATCACATGAAGGGGAGACGAAGACATCCTAACAAGGTACCATCTCGTATCATGCCAATTAAACATAATTAAAAAAAAAGCCTAATTATATGTCAGATTCTTCGGTGTAGATAGATCTAATGTGTCAATACCTTACAGGTATAATATGTTGTGCAACAAGTGTTGGCCAGCGGGGCAAATGTTGCTGGCAGCAGTTCAATCCTTGTTTTACACAAATGTTCAGAAATTTGAGATATAGTCAACATATTCCAGTTCTCATTGTATTCCTGATACCATGGCTCGTCAACATATTCTCGTTATGCTCCATGGTTACAGTACTTGGCCAAGGCAATTCAAGTAACTGCACGAGCCAACAACAGCTATTCCAAGGAAACCATTGGCAAAGAATTTTCTACATTCTGCATAGCATATTATCATTACTTTCCTTCTAAGAAACTGTAAAGTTGGTTTGAGTTTTTCAATGAAACAAAAAAAGTAACTTATTTTTAAATCTCTTCAAAATATGGTTCTGGCCAACTAAAAAAGGGGTTCTGTCATACCATCACAATGAAATAAGTTAGGGACAAGAATAATTTTCTAGAGAAAAAAACAATCTTTCTCCATGTGGAGAAACACGCCTTGGTATATTAAGGATAGTTCTTACAGTAAAAAAAAAAAATCAAATCAGCACAGGTTTTATAGGCAATATTTGCACCTTAAATAATAATTTCAGACTGAATAAATTTTCACGGAAAGGCTATAGTTTCTATCATACGTAGTGATCAGGGTTGTTCTTGAAAATATCACGGTAAATAGTCATTTTCATAATCTTAATTTTTCCATCTAATTTAATTGATGATTTCAATAGGGTCTTGTCATCTTGGTTCCCCATACAATTTTAACCAGTCCCATACACCAGAAAAGAAAAAACAAACAAAAGGAAGAAGAAGGCATAATAGGATGCTGATTATCAACAAACATAAGAAATAATCATGCAGAAGGTATTAAGCAAAAGCATTATTTGACCATCTCCAGTTTTATCATTATCAAAATCAGAGACATATGCTTACACATGCTGCTCCGGTAAGTATATCCCCTCCATGCCAAAACACCAAACTGTCACATTATCAAAAACTAGTTTTGTATCTTTCCCACTGTTATGATCGCGTCTGTTCAGAAGGCAAGCAGTATTAGCCCCTAGACTATACTTGGGTGAATCTTACTTGCATGACTCATATGTAGGCTACCACTAACAATAGGGCACATACCTAACTTGTGAGTGATTCTTCTCGGTATCTGATAACTCAAAGTTCAGCTTTGACTTGCACTTTGGACAAAAATAATCAGAGCTCTGCCAGTTGTTAGACAATGTCATAGACTCAGTTACAAAAGATAAAAAGGAATGTTTCCTTTAATAGTATAAAACCTCATACCCATCTCTTCTCATCTTTATGATGCCAAATCTTCTTGCATATTTGACAATATTGTTTTGATCTGAAAGGCTGTAAACAGAGCCCGTCCCAACAGAATTGTTAAAAGAAGTTCAAGGAGGACAGATTCAAAAAAATGGTTTGGTCTAACTAAAGCAACATGAACAAGAACTCATCTAGGCATCTACAACACAACAAATATAAGAATTATGGTAGAGTTTTCTACTGATAGGATCTTGCTTGCCTTGATCTCTGATTGACACTCTTGATCATGGTTTGAACCAGTTGCTTCCTTGATCTTACTAAGGTATGCAGGTTCCCCACTTGAACTCATACCATCAACCTGCACCCCTAAGAAGCCATGATCCGCTAGGAAGGCCTCCTCTATGGCTGTCCGCAGATCGCTAGGCTTGCACCTATACAACTCTGTCTGCCCCTGAAACCTGCAATTGAGCCCAAGAGTTTAAGACCAAGAGCATCAAGGCATTCCCTTCTAATCATATTTGGGATACCGACCTATCTATGTGGTCAATAAAAGGATAAACCCTCCCCTGATTCACCCATGCATATTCCTGCTCAAATCCAAAGGATTAATCATAATGGAAAAAGTGCCCATGTAAACGTAATTAGATAAGACAATGTATAAGAAAAATAGACTACCGTATCATTCCCACTTCCAAAGTAACCAAAGAACATCACACAGACAGCTCCAGAGATGCAGGAGTCGACAACGTGTTCCGGAGCTTGCTGCATTGGATCGATTACCATTGCAGGCCAAACTGGATAGTTCTTTCCTGGCTTAGCCCAAACAATATCACCAAAAGCAAACCCCCCAAGATGACAGTAATCCTTCCTCTGTTCAGAAGTTTTCTTGTGCAACTTTTCTTTTACTGACATCCGATCATAAAGATAACCAAGGGGGTCCTCTACAGTGGGCGCCAGGGGCAATCTCTTCTCCCTTGCCTCCAAACTCTCATGCAGAGATGTCAAAGTGCTTCGTGACAGCGAATACTTCTTGGAGCTAATATTTCTGCATGCCCGGTATCTTTCTTCTTCGTCGAACAATGCAACTGGATTGGGAATGACTGAACTAAATCTAGAATGCTTATTGCGACAATTCTCTTTTTGAGGCCCCATTGGTTCCTTCACCTCAGAATCAGACTCCAAAGCTTTCGGCTTAGGCTTCTCCTTCTTCCACGGGTCTATCAGGACGGAATCATTGAACCTGGCAGGCAGCACCTGCGCGCGGCCTCTCGACGTACGAACCACCGGCGGCCGTGATTCCGACGGCGGCGGCGCCTCACGGGGCTGCTCTCTCTCCCTTCTCCTCCCGTTCCGCGACTCGCTATCCATCTCCCCGGAACAGCAGGAGACCTCGCTACACAACGAAGACGCCACGGCGGCGCCGCCCGCTACGTCCTCCCCACCCAGCCAACGCCCAAGCCCAAGCGCCACGTACGGGAACCCCGCCGCGGCGACGTCCCCCAGCACCTCGAGGGGGAACGACTCCCTCCGTCTCTTCCGGCGCCTCCCGCCGCCCTCGCCGTCGCCGTCGCCGGCGGCGACCTCGGCATTGCACCGCTTCAGGGTCGGCATCAGCACCCGCTGGCTCCGCTTGATGATCATCGCCCCAGCGCCGAGAAAACCCTCGTCCCACCACCAAATCCCGCAGAGATCGCAACCAGAATTCCCCGCCTCCGACCCAAGAACCGCCCCAATCGATCTCGTAGCCCTAATTTCCCCTCGCGATCGCAGACAATTCTGGCTAGGGCTCCAAGGAACGGGGCCGATAGATCTCAACGAGATTGGAAGCTCCGCTCCCCATAAGCTTCGAATGGACTCCGACCCATCCAAGAAGAGATCTCAATATATTACAACTTTCTCCCCTTCCATCTTTTAGTTCTCGCTCTTAATTTATTTCTTTTTTTCCCTCCCCCCCCTCCCCCTCCCCCTCGCTGGGAAGCCTTCTCTTCTCTTTTCGATCCGGCGATTTTTCTTTTCTTTTTTTTCTTTTTCCTTTTATTTTATTTTTTAGGTACAAAGTTTTTGGGTTGGTTTATATAAAAAAGGGATTTCGTGGGAGGACGGAGTTGGATTCCCACCGGAAGCGGGCGATGGCGTCTATCTTATCGTTTCGCTTAGCTACAATTTGTGCACGGTCCAATTTGGCGTCTCGTTCGCCATCACGGAGGAGACGATGATGCAGGTGATATAAGCAATAATTGGAGAGCATCGTGCCATGACTGCTGCAGCACTCCCTTCTGTTGGTGCAGTGGCGGAGGGAGAGCACCCATTGTTACTGCATTGCACGAGGCACAGCAATTTAGTAGCTTTATTTTTTTGTTTTCCTTCTCTTATATAGCCTATGTTGGGGAAGAGATGGATTCCACCTGTTGTGCTCGTCTTCCTCGGTCCGTCTGTTGCCTGCGGTAGCTGTTGATCCGAGGAAGTTGGTAGCAGATTTCATACTTCCTTTCTTGAATCTTATGGGAGATTTGTTGCAGTGAGGCAGTAACATTCTGTGTAGTTTGATTTGGGGCGTGGAACACTGGTTTTCCCCGTACACAATATTGATCCCATTTTGGAAGCTGCATCATGTTCTTTGTTTTCCCACTGCAACTGATGATGATGATGATGATGATGGTTCCTTCAGTTGTTTCTCGGTGCAAGTAGCATGACAGGCCCATATCTCGCACAGTGGCTTTCACAGGGGCAATCACGGTGGACAGAGATGGCCAAAGGAGATGGATTGTCTTTAACCTAAATGTTGTGCCTTCCATGACCAGGAGGAGCTTCCTGCAGCAGCAGTGCTGTGTTGTCTTATGTCAGCGAGGAGGCGAAGGTGGATGTGCCGGAGACGAAGACGATCATGTTTGGTCCGGAGATGCCTCTTCTTCGAAGGAGAACACAGAGCTCGGACTTGCTGCAAGTGTTGAGGTTGCAAGGACTTCGGAATCGGAAGGTTGGTGCCACGGATCGGTATGCCTGACGCCTGTAGCAGCTCAATTCTCGAGCCTTTCGTGCGCCAGCGGTGGTTCTTGTCGCTGCTGCTTTGGGTGCTATGTCTCTCCGACCGCAGGCACAGTTGGCAAACCTGTGAAGCTTTGGCCACTTCACTCCGAGCAGGGAGACTCGAAAGAGGCAAGCTTTCTATAGATGGCTGGTGTCATAGTTAAACTGAGCCATGGTGTTGTGCAACATGCATACAAGCAAGTAAGCAAGCTGCCCACCAGTTGTTTGTTCTCTGTTCCGATGCGTTCTGACCTGGGTTTTCTCCTCCGATTCATCTGAAACTTGGTAGTAGTCTGGCATCGGTTTCTGTCAAGATCGAAGACAGCTTACATCGTACCAATTGTCCAATTCTTTCGATAAGTTGAATGGGGAGAACGGGCTAGAGATCTTTGGAATCTTGCAGTTGATACAGCCACACCACCTTCCTATATCACGATCCTTCGATGCTTTGTTACACGAGGAATCATGTTTGGGTTGCTCCTCCAGCCGGGGTTCCCACGAATCTCAAAGAGCTCTTGCCACTTTGTATCCAACGGTTACAGAGTCTCAACGCACTACGTTATCCGAAACCGAGTATATGTTGCGATCTGGGTCCATCTCGGATTCGTGTTTACCATATCGGCTTCTCGCGTGATGAGTGGGTGCGATAACATGTGGAGCCCAACCGGACACGTCTGCGGGCTCCTCCTCTAATGAGATCAAGGTATGTGAAGTGAGTAACTGTACTGTCGGTAGACAAAGTATTTTTTGAGTCCTTTTCTTCAAGGCTTGTGTTCCGTTTATAATAAATAATACGCTAGCGTCGAAGACTGCAAAGCGGGGGAGAGGAGAGTAGAGACCGAGATCGCGGGTCGATTGGGGGGAGAGCAATGGCTTCTTCGTCTTCGGTGGTGTCCTCATCCTCCTCCTCGTCATCCGACAAAGGGTCGGGGCGAATTCTCCAGTTCGATCCGTTCCAGAGCTTGGTGGACGAGGGCTTCTGGCATCGCCTCTCTTCCCTCAAGCTCGACTCCCTTGGCCTCGACCAATCCCCCATCCCTCTCACGGGCACGCCTCTTTCTTCCTTCCTTCTTCTCACTGTCTTTTTCCTTCTGTTGATCCGAGTAAATTGCCCGCGTTGATGAACCCTAGTTTGTTTATGATCCGACCGCGGGTCCGTTTTCGTGTACTATAGATGTTGGTGATATATTGCATGCATTTAGTAATTCTTAGCAGTCCTTTTCTGATAGATTTTATATTTTGCATATTTCTTATGCAATTGAGTTCTTTCCATGCTTTCATATTCGAAAGAGGCATAACACTGTGCGCTCTTCTGCAAGAATCAAAGTGAATTTAACTTGACCCCAGCGATCAACTTGATGTGAAAGAATTATATGTTTACAACGAGGATTAAGATGAGTTAGTATGTTATATGTCATAAATACTAAGAAATCATGTAGTTCATTTCTCTCTTATAGTGCAGTTGCAATAGCCTATCTCCTTTTGACTATCAGAACAAGTCAAAGTTTCAAATTTTGTTCAATTTTATTTTGAATGGTGAAAAATGTTAGATGAAAAATAGTACTTACATTACTCAATAATACTCTCTTTGACAGGTTTCTATGCACCCTGTTCACATCCCAAGGTTTCAAACCGCCTGACACTTCTTGCTGAGTCATTGCCATCTGACTTCAAAGAGCTACAGTTTTCACTTGAAAGGGCTCATGGTAATCGGAATAGATGCCCTGTTCCTGGAACTCTTTACAACATGAACACATTTGAGAGCTTCAAGGCCCTTGATAGAGATTCCCTGCTGAAAAAGGAAGCAAAAAAGGTGCTCTTCCTCCATAATATCTCTACGTTGAATAACTTTATTTTCTTATTAGGACTTGGAAGTGAATTGTTGCTCTATTTGGTTCTTATATCTACCTGTTTCATATGAATCTTTTTGCATTGATGAACTACGAAAATAGAAGATCTAGGAAAAAAAAATGCATTTCTTGTGTCTCACTTTCTGACCTTTATATTTTGTGTTACTAGATATTGGATGACATCCATTCTGGAAAGGTAGAGGAGGATAGTGCAGTGCTTTCAAGATTCTTTATCATCTCATTTGCTGATCTGAAGAAATGGAACTTTCTTCACTGGTTGGCGTTCCCTGCTTTGGTTGTTGGTCCTCCTGCTGTGGTACTCAATCTTCAACCAGCTAGAGAGGTGTTTAATCAGGGAGAGGTACTACAGTCAACAGATAAGGGTCTTTTGACATATTGTAAAAAAGGCTTGACAAGTTAACATTACCTGATCTGTGGTTTGGTACAACAGGCTCAATCATTGTCTGCAGCACTGAATGAATGGCGCAATTCAAGCTTGACGACAGGTTAAAATTTTGGATATTATCTGACATGGGTGTTAAGTTTATCTATCTCGATTATATACAAATGAATTAATCTGTTATGCTGATATGTCATTCTTCCATGCGCCATACAGGTGTGCTATACTTCTTAGTCAGCATAGCATCAAATTCATGTGCCACTATTAGACAGTTGAAGGATTGGAAAGCCTGCCAAGATGATGGTCAAAAGGTATGTTCATTGGGAAGGTCATCTAATTTTGACTCTTATCTAGATTTTCAGGAGAACTACATTTTGTAACTTTGTTGTCGATGGTTACTGTGTGCTGCTTATAGCAAAAATGTTCTCATGATAGAGTGCATCTCGTCTTGTTTTAAATTTATTTCTCAGCTAATCTCCGAACATGAAGCATTGTCTAACTTGACACTGTTGGACTTTGTATTGGTACAGTTGTTGTTCGGTTTTTATGATCCAAGCTGTCGTCTAGATAATCCTGGATGGCCTCTTCGTAACTATCTTGCATTCATTAGTTTGAGATGTCAGGATGGGAAGATCCAGTTTCTGTGCTACCGTGAGAAACGTGGTTTTGCTGATATGGGCTTATCCCTTGTTGGTGAAGCTGTGATCTCACCATCAAAAGGTAGAGGAACAAACGATGGATAGCTGCTGGTTTCTTTTCAATCATTTAAGATCATCATTCTAACATATACTTTGCCTACCCGGTGGCCTGAGTTGCCTCAACATTTGTTGTTCTTGTAGACTGTAGAGACCCACAGTGTGTTCCTAAAGCTGTAGGATGGGAGCCAAAACCCAAGAGCATAAACCTTGCAGAATCCATGAATCCGGAGAGGTATTTCTTCATAAGGCGCATTATCTGGAATCCCAGCGAGAGAAAGAGAGACTATTATGAAGCAAGGATGCTCAAATTTCTTTCATACCTGCAGGTTGGCTGTATCTGCTGCAGATTTGAACTTAAAGCTAATGAGATGGCGTACATTACCATCTTTAGATTTAGGTACCTTGTCCAGTGTTAGATGTCTACTACTGGGAGCTGGTACCCTTGGATGTCAGGTTGCTCGCATGCTTATGGTCAGTAGCTTGTCCATGCCTTTTAATTATATTTCATTGTTTTTCTGTATACTTAATGTTGTTAGGTTTATTAACAGGCCTGGGGTGTGCGGAAGATAACACTACTAGATAGTGGCCTAGTAGCTATGTCTAATCCTGTCAGACAGTCTTTATATACATTAGATGATTGCCTTGATGGTGGCAGCTTAAAAGCTGTTGCAGCAGCTAGAACTCTGAAGCGTATATTTCCAGCTGTGGTGGGTCTTATTGCTCCTTTGTTTGTGCTATCTGGATAAAGAGAATTAATATCATTGTACCAGCTGACTATTTCATATTTGCAGGAGGCAGAAGGTGTAACACTTTCAATACCAATGCCAGGACATCCTGTGCCTACCAATGAAGTAGCTCGCGTGCTTGAAGATTGTGAGCGACTAAGGGACCTGATTGCTTCCCATGATGTGACATTTTTGCTGACCGATACTAGAGAAAGCAGATGGCTTCCCACACTGCTTTGTGCAAGTGAGAACAAAGTGGGTTTGTTTTTCCTAATGACCAGAAAAGTTGTCTGATTGGTTCTAATGATATTGTAGCAGCTAGAAGTGTTTAACAATAAGGCTTGCTCTTTTTATTGATATTTTGGGATTTTATATGTCTCTTAATAGCTTTTTAATGACTGCTATCCTGATGTTATGTTAAATTTGTTTTTCTGGGTCTCTGTGTCTCGATATTATAGAACATGTTCTTTTAATTTAGCCATCCTCATCATAGGCATTCTATTGTTGATGAAGGTAGAGAGAGATATATAAATGAAGATATTGGTGGCAAAGATGCTAAGATAGTCCCCTGATGAGGTAGAAATGCCAAATAGAATTATGACCATGTCCTTGAATATTTTGCCATCTATTAGCAAGTGATGATTGGAACTGACTTTTGGATAGGTAGCTGAAAATGCATCTTTCATTATCTGTGGTGAACAAATTAAGATGATTCTGTTCATACCTAAAAGTATGTAGAGAAAGGAGGTAGGAGAATTCATGAAAATATCATTGCAACTTGTGAGAGTTTATAGATTTTTGAAAAAAATCACTAATATTCAATACATCTGTGTGTGTTCTGACCTTGAGGACATTTTTCTCACAACTATATTTCATCTTGGTTAGCTTTGCTGATTACTAGATCGACTGCTTTGTTCTGATGAGACGATATCAATGTTGACAAGTAGGCTTCTATTTGGTGTCCTACAGATTGCTATCACTGCAGCTTTGGGCTTCGACAGTTACTTGGTTATGCGTCATGGAGCTGGTCCACTCTCTGTATCAGATCAGACAAACAGCTTATCTACAGTGGATGGAAATGGAGGGCAGCGCTTAGGATGTTACTTCTGTGGCGATGTAGTTGCTCCTATTGATGTAACTCACTCTAGTGGCTTCTCTAAAGATGCTCATTGTTAGATCTTTTTTGTCACAATGATCTTAATCATGCTACTGTTTTCCTTGTTTAATTCATTGCTCATTATGCAGTCAACGTCCAATCGCACTTTAGATCAGCAATGCACTGTCACACGTCCTGGGCTTGCACCCATAGCATCTGCTTTAGCAGTGGAACTCTTGGTGGGACTTCTGCATCATCCAAATGGGTACATTTCTCAACTACTAATTGATTTCCACAGTAATGGGACATCAGTCATGCACCTAGAATTTACTTGCAGTGTTTTACTGGTTCTTAGAATGACTTGTGGATGGTACAATTGCTTCATTCCAGGATATATGCTCCAGGTGAGATTGCCAACTCCATTATGAGCTCCAGTGAGCAACCTTTTGGTATTTTGCCGCATCAGATCCGAGGCTTACTTCCTCAATACTCTCAAGTGACGCTCATTGGCCATGCATCCAACAGCTGCACAGCCTGTTCAACTACTGTGAGTCATTTCCCACCCCTTGATTTTCCTTGTGCTGAAAAATGTGCTTGTTATTACTGGTTCAGTCTTTCCAAATCATCAAAGTTTTCTGCTATGGTCCTTCTCTGTTGAACAATCGGTCAACCAGGGAGATGTGTTGGTGCTGATCCTGCTTTGCACTGCAAAAAGTGAATAACTAATTTAGGCAGATAAAATGAGGTTTATGGAATTCTAAGCCGATGAAAAGGTTGCAAAAAACTTTTGTTTGTGATGGTACACGGATGGATGTCTATATCTGTTTATTTCTCTCAGACGTTTGTGCTGTTTGCCTGTTGCAGGTGGTGTCCGAGTTGAGGAGACGAGGAACGGAGTTCATTTTGCAAGCCATTGACCACCCAACCTACCTGGAGGATTTAACTGGGCTCACAGAGTTGATAGAGTCCGCGAATTCTTTCAAGTTGGACTGGGATGATGAAACTGATGATGCTGATGATATCTGACTTACGTTTCATCTCAGAGCTGCAGTTCAAGCTATTCTATCACCCCAGTGATCTCTTTGGACAAGAACAGCGAGGTGATTTATCAATGTACAGTCACTGATCATGTACTAACTTATCAATATATAGATACATTGGTTGCTGATCAAAGAAAATGAGACTACAAGATGATAAAAAAATATTAGAATAACTGGAAATCTGACGTCTATTGTATCTTGATGTATTGTTCCTCTTGCGTTTTGTTGCCTTTCTTTGTAGCGGGAATAAGAATTGGCTTTGGCAGATGAATCACAAAGTGTATTCCGTACTTGGGAGTTCTGTATAATTCACGACTAAATGGAACTGTATTTTTGATAAAAAAAACATATAAATAATAAGTAATACATATAATATGTAAAAATAAAAGTTGTTTTGTAATAAAATATTCAACCTGTGTCAAAAAGTAAATAATAGTTGATTTATATTCAAGAACATGTTAATCAAGATGGATCGAAGATGATTAATGAACTAACAAAAGCAAACTATTGATGAAATCCAATATTCAACTTTTTTGGTTTATGCATGTATGAAAATATTAGGAAAAATAAGAAAATAAATATTTTCATGAATAATTAAGTATATTTTTATAATAGATAAAATAGTAGTAAGAAGAGAGAAAGAGGAAGAATACAAAAATAAAAATAAAAATTATAAATAAAATTTTAAATATTTATAATATAACTAAAGATGTTTTTTATATAACTGAATCCTATCAAAATGTCCATATAGCCGCCTCCAAATAATTAGGACAATCTGATTATTCGTGTTACCTCTTTACTAACTCGCTATTAATTCAAAATGATCCTCAAAAGATCAACTCTGAAGGTAGAATCTTTCTTTTTTTTCTTCTAACATAAATACTAAACAGTTGAGAAACAAAATGTTCGGCAAATGTAAGAATGTAGACAAGGCATGCTACTACGAGATTAATGATAATAAGCAGCAAAAACAAGCTAAGTGTCAAGTTCTTTCAAATAGGAGGGTCCGGGCCTGAAGGGGTCCTCTTCCATGTACGCCTCTGGGCGTTCAAATCCGGCTTCATTCATACGGTTGCTGAGCACATGTAGTATGGCCTTCTTGGATCCGTACTCGTCCCGATTTGCCTCGATGTAGGAAGTTGCCTCTGCGGCCACCTCGTTAACAAAATCAAACCTGTTCTCCTCCGAAAGCATCAGCTTCTCAATGTCCATGGACATTACCTTCCCATTTTCTCTGATCTTTCTCACCTGTTCTTCCAGGAAAGGGATCCGATCCATCTTGTAGCGCAACTTGTCATCGTTCTTTGTCTGAAAGCATTAAACACATGCATGCTTTTAGCTTAATTGTAAGTGCCATGTCCATTGATAGAATGTTGCACATAATTCATCATTCAAACTGCACAATATGGTTAAAGAATGATAACGGAGACTTGATCCTCGCTATAATTACTTCTAAAGCTCAAAAGATTGACATGATTTACAAGGAACCAACAGGAAGTATCTAAAGAACACCAAATGATTTTAGAAGAAATAATTTATTTGTAGCTGATGATATTAACAATTGAGAAATTAATCATCAACACCAAAGAATGTTACATGACCAGACTCGATCCTCATGATTAATCCACACATAAACATAAATAAGAAAGGCAAATGAATGGTATTGCAAATGTAGGATAAGATGGTGCAATCAAGATGCAGTTGGTAAAGAATCTAACATACAGTGCATTGACTCCATAACCAGAGTCCATAACATACAGTGCATAGACTTCCCAGATACTCCTGACGACATAGAGAACGAATTCAATCAGTTACGAAGATGATCGAACATATCACCTACATGTCCTTGTTGTCCTGCTTCAAGTTATTTATTGATCTCTATCCAAAACCCTCAAAAAGGCAAAAAAATCATGACAAGAACTTCATCAATTTTTGACAGATAGTGAGTGGTGAAAGAAGGACCGCTTTCATGATCTTGCAATCGATAATCAACATTCTTACTAGCTAAAAGTTTGAGCAAACACTAAGGCAAGAAGAGGAGCTTTATTAAGATAATATGGCCAATTTGCACGAACGAAGTTCTAGTTATCGATTGCAACCTAATCTCAAGCAATGAAATTGAGATGCATGATTGAATGGAGAATGGAGAATGGAGAATGAAGCGCTATAATTACTCACAGTTTGTTTATTTTAGGCACAGAATTGCAAAAGAAAGTGAAAGAATCAATGATTAAGAAGTAAAAGAAAAAAAAAAATGAAACCAAAAAGGATGGTCCAATTTCCCACTGATGCAATTCCCAGAGAGGCTGCTTCTGTGATTCAGAAGATATATAGATGAAGTAATGCCCTGAAAAGCTCTAAAGCGTCTAATAATCTGTTTGCTTTCCTATTTATAGATTTTCCTAAACATCTTCAGAGCGAAAAACCACTGACAATTCTCCTAAGCAGAATACTATCATCTCCAACTATATCCAGCGTGCTCTTCTTAATCTTGTACCTTAGACCCCACATTTCACCAACCCTAACGGAGTCGCTTGTACTAAACCAAAGACAATAATTCTTGAGAATTAAAGCATCAATCTTTGCAGCTCAAATCCGCACAAACAAATGCTAATCTTGAAATGAGAAACTCAATATTGCAAATTTATCATAGAAATAAGAATTAAATCCAATCCGATGGTCGTACCAGTCTGCGGCGCCGCCAAATCCGCCTTCGGTTCCCACCTTCCCCGGAATCCTGATACCAGAACACAAAGAAAGGATCTTTCTGCAGGTCCAATAAAGATGAGAGCAACGCAGAGGGATCGGAGGAACCTGAGATTTGTCGGAGGCGCCGCGGATCAAGCAAAGACGGGGAAGCCGCTCCGTCCTCTGCGGGAGACACGAAACAAGAGAAAGAAAATTAGGGAGGTAGTCAGGTGGAGACGAGAAAAGACGCCTAGGGTGTGGCAGTGGAGGGCTTTCGAGCTCACCAGTGCCGGCGCCACCGTCGCCAGGGGAGGGCATCGGATAAGGTGGTGCGCCGCCAAGGCCATGCCCACCCGTGTTCGATAGCCGAGTGCGGATGAGAAGTGATCCCGAGAAGGAAAACAAGTGAAAGAAGAGACGGTGCACTTAGTTGGGCTTCTTCTTCTTCTTCTTCTTGAAATATGGGTTTGGGCCGTCTTTAATGGGCTTTTAAAGTAAATATTTATTTTAGACAATTATTCTAATTTCTAAACCATCCTCATCATTTTTATTGGGTCCGATTTTTATTTTCTTCTATTCTTTAATAAAATGATTATATATATATATATATATATATATATATATATATATATATATATATATATATATATATATATATATATATATATATATATAATTACAGACAAAAGTTTGTCTCTGTTGCTACTGATATGGATCGATTGGGGTCAGCTTTTTCTGCTCATCTGATGCAAGTCCACATACAAAAGCTTCAGGCGACACTGATCTCGCCATGCATAGATGATTCAGCAAGTGCTGTTGACCGAATCGTGTGGAACAATCATCGCCTGTGATCCGAAAGAAAACAACATCTCTCTTCACCATCATGAAAGAGAGATCTCTGCGCTCTTCCTTCTCTGCTGTCCTGTCCCAATGCAGAGACTTGCATCGTTGAAAGTTGCAGCTGCCTGACAAAACCGATACCAGAAAACACTCTCAGCCAAATGACAAGTGCCGAACTCGGTCTCACCAATCATCTGAAACCTTCACACACATACATGCACTCAACATTAATTCCTAAGCTACGTAGTGGTGTAGGTTGGAAGTATCGAGGAGATCAAGATCACGCCACGTACATGGTTATCAATGCGTAAAGGCTGCCTAACATAACTCACATAATGCCAAGTGATTAATAACTCTAATACTTAGGTTTGGAAGGACCGTCAAAGAATGGAGATGAACTCTCCCCTTCAAGTGGCTACTTTTTTCTCTCTGCTGGGCCTCCACAATGCCTCATTTTTCCTCAGCTCGACTCTCAGTCCACAGTGCTAAATGTGAGCATCGACATGATCCAGGCTTATATATATTGACCATAGCAGAAAGGCAGCTCCATGTACATGGAGCAGAAGGTGGTGATGGAACGGGCGAGGCTGGATCTTCCCTGCGCTGCTTGTCGAACGCTGCACCGGAAGTGCGACCACGGATGCCTGCTTGCGCCGTACTTTCCGGCCGACGAGCCCGACAAGTTCGCCAGCGTGCACAAGGTGTTCGGAGCCAGCAACGTCGTCAAGATGCTTCAAGTACGTGTTAGCTCAATCCCCTGCTTCTTTATCTTCTGATAGCCAGCATGGAGATGATGCTGGCGATGGCGGTGCAGGTGGTGAAGGAAGGGATGAAGGAGGACGCAATCAAGAGCATGGTGTACGAAGCTCATGCAAGGCTGCAGGACCCCGTGTATGGATGCGCTGGAATCGTTCTGTGCCTGCAGAGGTGCGTGGAGGAGCTGCAGGGCCAACTGAGAGCGGTGCAAGAGCAGGTTTTGGAGGCGCACTTGCAGAGAGATCAGCTGGCGAGTGCTCTAATGGGGGCTACGGAGGTCGACGCCTTCCTTTACGCCCACTGCAGCAAGTGACTTTGGTTCGATGGATCGAAGAGTGGCGTCGCTGAAGAGTGAAGGTTTAGGGTAAGACAGGACAGAGATGAGGGCATGTAAATGAAGCTGCAAGTTATTTTGTTTCTCTTTCAAATGCAGGGGAACACTTCGTGATGATTTATTATTAATATTAAATTAAATATTATTATGTGGCTGGTAACACACGCAATTTGAGGCGAGAAGGATGTGATGCAGAAGACTGTTGTGGCGTTTGCGAAGGTGACAGCATTTGAAATTTGCTGCTGAAGTTAACAAAATAAAATAAAAAAAGGAAATTTATTGTTTTTTAAATCCCTCAAAATTTACTTTTTCTTCAGTAGCTTATTCTTAGAGTACAAAGCCACCTATTTTCTAAAAGATAAATTACCCTTGACTTCTATCCTATCGATCATCATTTTCACCCCATCACCTCTACCCCTCGTGTGCTCTTGTCGCCACGCCTTCACTCCATCACCTCTACCCCTCGTTCGTCATTGTCGTCATGCCCCTGTCGCCATGCCTTCACCCCATCACCTCCACTCATCATCCGTCATGATAATCGAGGTAAACAGTCTCATGGAAAGACCTTTTAGGTAAGGTGGAAGATTTGACGATATTGATAATGGGTTGGAGGATATTGTGCTTACATCGCCACCGAGGGGAGCTTAGGTAAAAGAAGTTAGTCTTACCTTGGGGGTTATGAAACCAATGAGCAACGATGTTAAAGGTGTTGAGCCACACATGACACTTTTTAGTTGGGCCCTAAATCTCCATCGCATATAGCCCCCTCACGATCACTTTCTGACCCTCGATAGCTTATCATCTTCTCATATCCTCCTTATTAGCAAACATTATCACATCCCTCATTGATGCTAGTCACCTCTTGAGAGATTGCTCACCTTGGGCGCTATGACGGCAATGACGAATAAAGGGCGAAGGCAATAAGACATGGCATAATCGACGAATGAGGGATGGAGATCAAGAATAATCTCATTTAAAAAAAAAGAAGTCCCATACAAGAATAAACCAAAAAAGGATGTTGTAAAGGAAAAGTAAATTTTTTTAGATTTTTTAAGGATTTTATCTAATAATAATAATAATAATAATAATAATAATAATAATAATAATAATATCATAAGTCCTAACTATTTAGAGTTAGCTATATGAATCTCTTGTCATCATTAAAATATATAAAAATTATATATTTAGTTAAGTTTAAAAATACTTAAAGTTTTATTTATAGTTACTATTAAAATTTTTTAGTCTTCCTTTATATCCTTTTTATCACTAATATTAATCATTAATCTTTTATAACTATAATATTCCTAGGTCTCTAAACATAATAATAATAATAATAATAATATTGTGAAATACCAAAGGTTACACTATACTGGGAGTTATGATCCCATGACTTCGCTTGAATGATTTTCAATAGATAAAGAGATTGAAACAGTGATATTTTGATTTATGAAAGAAAAATTCTAACGTACAATATCAAATATTTTTTGCATTTATGAAAGAAAAATGCATGATATTCTAAGGTAATCAAACTAGTTATTATTTGGATCTAAGTCAAATTTTTCTAAGAACAATATCCGAGTAAAATCCATTTTTCTTGAGAAAGTCAATCTTGCAATCTTCCCAGTCAATTTACATATGAGCGAGTCAACAATTAATTTAGAGCTTCAAAATAATAAGAACAGCATGCAATCATGCATCCATCAAACATGTTTCACATCTCTTCTTGTATTCTTTCCTTCCAACTTAGAGCTCCACGAAACTACATGAACCGATCACACATCCATCCAGCAAATCAAATGCATGAACACACCGTAGAGAAGCACACTTACCTTTATGCCAACAATTATTTAGTTTGCATATTAGATTTTGATCTGCAACATATATCAACACAAAGATCTTATCCTTCTGGTCTTCTTATACTTGATGACAAATAGTCGAAACAAAAAAAGTATCAGTGGAGAACATCGTAACATCCTTTCACATCAACCGAGCGACGAGCCCAGTAACATCCTGCAACATCGTTTCGCTGTTCGACAGATCTGTGCAAACCTGACTGCATCTGCAAATCCACATTAGCCAAAGAATTATTACATTACAGTTTGAGTCTTATACATTCTCATTGATCCACCAAGTTAATTCGAAGACCGAACATTAATTACCCGGTTTGCGACGAAGGGTCACACTCTGGAGGTTGGAAGAAATCTTCTATTCGAGGAGGCTCATCGGCACTGTGGCTGCCACCACTTAGCCATGAGAGCGAGAGCGAATTCTCTGCACCAACTTCTTCCAGCTGACATCAAGAAGCAAAAACCTAATCCATTAACTTGGTTGTGCTAACATGAATTGAAATGATGAGGTGGGCAACTTAGATCGACATGACGATCTTAAGCATTAGCCGAAAACAATTGCCATCAGGCATATTGCTTCTCTACCTTCGTTCTTAAAATGTTGTTAGATTCCTGCAACATCTGTTCCTACACATAGGTAACTTCTGATCGGATCAAAAACATCCATATTGATCATGGAAATTAGAATGAAACTACTAGGCGGAGTAAATTTACCTTATATTTGAGATCGGTTAGCTGATCAATAATTACTTGGGTCTGTAAGCATGTACAAAAGCATCAATATCACACATAACATGAGATTAATTTCCTCTATGTTTGACATAATCACATCACTGTCACCAGCAAACACAATGATTTCTTTCAAGAAATGTTAGGATCCAAGCTTTAATATCATAGGCATTGCATGATGTCGTAATGTGCAGCTTAAACTTTCATGGTCAACAATAATCACACTCGAACTCATTGCTCTCGAAATGACAAGCTTATTTGGGATGATACTTGTGATGATAATGAATCGAAATCGGCTTAATCCATCCCACATGGTAAACGTTTAGAAGGAAATTTAGCTTCAAACCTCCTAATTCTTCTCCCACAAATCCTAATTCTGCAATCTTTCATTGTTTGTGGTACAGTGCAAGTCTAGCGGTATCCTATTATGCATGATGATGAAGTCAAAATGTAATTGTCACACAAGCAATGCGATTATGGATCGAACACAGTATCTATTCTCGATAAGCACCTTTGTCGATCTGATGTGCCTTAGGGACGTCTCGATTTGATTCTCGAGTTGGTCGAGCTCCTTAATGTTTAGGGCATCTAAATCTTGACCAAGAAAGTTTCTGCAATGACATGAACAACGCATCAGTCACTACCGAACACTTCTCAACGTATCAATTGCAGAAATGGCGACTACGGTATGAACTTATACTGCGGTAAACAACAGAGAACCTTCATCAAAGTACAGCCTCAAACACTACCTCTGAGATCGTTGTAGATAGTCGACTCGTGTTTTCATCTTCAGGTATTCCTGGTAAGTATTCTGCTTTCGGTCGAAACATACAAGCGTCGTCAGGATCGAGTCAAGCAAAATCAAAGATCACACACCACATGAGGATACATACTTGGAAGAACATGGCAAATCCATGATATTTCTTATGAAACTAACTATGAGTTTTGTATACTCAAATCGACACGCATATTTCTACAAAGAAGCACAATGTAGAACATGCCATGATTATTGTATAACATCCCCAAGAACATGAAAATAGAGCCCTATGAAGTTTCATGAGCAGATCTTGCAGTATGTTTCACCAAACACAGTTAGCAGATGTCATACCAAGAAATGGATACAGAAGGGATGAAGATAAACCTGTGATGGAGATAGTCACCTGTGTGTCATTCGATGAAACCATGGCTTCTGATGCATTATAGCTGCACCTTCGGTACTTTTCGATTGTTTTAAGCAGGCTGTGTGAAGGAGAAAACATGTGTTCATATAACCTAGCAAAATTGGCAGGTAGAGAAATACTAATCATAATTTACTGGATGTAGTCTCCCAATTATATCCAAGCCATGACTAAGAATGAATTAGCAAAGGTAAAATGGTTTGACTAAGCATATCAAATTGATGTTATAGAAGATCATTAAAGATAACTTTCTCCTAAAGACACCATGAGAACAGAAGCTTACAACTCCAAGTGGTAATACTTTTCTACAAAGTGAGGTGGAATTCTGTTCTTTTGGTCATGTTCTATTTCACCTGATCATGGAAAGGGAACTCATGAATTGAGAGTTGAGCATACCATTTGACCTGAAGATAATGATAGTGGCTGTTGGTAACTTAAGTGTCAAGATAGACTAGTATTATTGCCAGTAACATATTAAATAAATCATTTGGCATAGATCATATATGTCTCAACTGAGACCACTTGGTGTAGCAGTAGTAAGAAGATTGGTTTAAATTCATGTTGCCACTGAAGGAATGGAAAGATCAACAGTCTGATAGAAGAGAGAAAAAAGTTTCATATATTTAGCAGGTTCAGTGGTTTGATGATTTTTAAGTTTTTCAGGTAAGTGTTATTTTATTTTTCAGATGTTCAAAAATGTCTGGCATTCATATCTCAAAAGCCATACTATGGCTGTACATATGTAAAAAAGATTCTTCTGTGTTCTTCAAGATTCCCAGTTGGTGCTTCATACATAAGTAGTGATTCAATGGCATCCACCACTCCATCAAATGGAAATATATATATATATATATAAATATGAATTAACTTAAATTAAAGCTAATGTCTTCTCTGTTTTAAGTCCTTTATATCTTATCTGACTCTCTGAATCAATTCCTTTTCATTCCATTAATTATCACTGAAATGAATTGAGGCTATTCTCTTCCTGCAAAAAAAACAAAAAAACAAAAGAAGAAGAAATTAAGGCTATTATCCTCCTTTTCTCAACCTGAATCAAGAGTTCTATAATATTTTTGGAATTGATGATTGCTGCTAATAATTTTCTACATGATTAGTGTCTCATACATGGTTTTTTGGTGACAGGAGACTCATCAGAAACTGTAGGATATGCCTATAATTCTTGCTGATACAACCAGCTATCAGAAACAAAGGGTAAAGAACTGATGGGAACAGGCCAAGGATATTAAGTTCCAATAAATATGCAGTGGTGATGAGAGATCTGTTGACCAATAATAGAGAATCCCCATCAGATCCTTCAAAGGACAAGAAGCACATCAAATACCCAACCTATTCTCGCAAAAATAAAAGAGAAAGCAGACAAGAAAACCTAGGAAACTGAAATGGAACAGGGCCTCCTGAGATCTACA